CTTTATGTAGTCCTTGCTCCATAAATCTGTCTCTTTCTGAGAACCTAGAATATAAACAGTTTTCAGGAGCTCTACTGCATATCTTTACCAGCTCTTCTGGTACTGCTACAGAACATCTGGCAGAGGAAATAGTTCTTTGTCTATCTACACAGAAGCATTTACCATGCTAGAAGACAGAATTATTAACAGGATTGCGCTCTACAATTTGGCTGACTTTATGGGTGTGGCACCAAACTGCATTATTATCGTGTCATTAAACTTTGCTACAGCCATGCAAACGCACAGGCCCTGATCCTGATCTGGCTGTGTTCAGTTATGCTTCTGAACACCAGGTTCTCAGTAACATCTCATTCATATTTAATCCTGGTTTAACTTTTGCTTTTGTCCTGTACATTGAAAGACCTTCCTTGAACTTGTCAAGCATTTACTAGCTGTTAGCAGTACAGGTACCAAGCGGGGAAGCTTGAAATTGTATTCACTGCAGTGAGTGAAATATCTACTGAATGTAAATAAGACAGACTCGTTTCTCTGGTTTCTCTTAGGCATGATCGTCTTCCCTGTGAATATAAGTCAGTTCCTACATCTCTGTTGGCTTTGTAACACTTTATGTAGACAGTTCCAAGGTTAGGCAGTAATTTCTGTTTCTCTGAGATTTACAAAAAGACCTCAGATTTGACTTGCTGCTTTGATGTAATATGAATGTTGGCATTTCCACACGTGTCCCCTATAATCATGCATCTCTCTAACTTCCTCCTAAACACACAAATGAGACCAAGATGTTATTAGATCCATACCAAACATGTGATCACTTGATGTAGTCGCTACATAATTGCAGCTAAATGTTTATATTCATAGTTTTTCTGATAAAGATATTGGCAATGCCTTAAAATGATCTATTTAATTCTGATTAAAATTCACAGAATTTATGGACTATTTTAATGGGCTAATTTTCCTTTTTCAGACCAATTTTTTTCTTTTTAATTACAGACATCTCTAGAACTAAATATTCCTCTGGGTTTTATAGGAAGATTGTGCTTTGTGATGAGTGATACTTCAATAATATTATATGTACTCCATAATAACAAATAAGTGCTATGCTTTTGAAAAAGGTCTGTGATTTACTGCCCTGACATTTCTATGAGTGTTGTCTACCTCTGGCACAGATTTGGTCATATGTCGATACAGATGATTTATAGATATTAATTTAACAGCTAGATTAAGTCACTCTTGTCATCTCTGTAGGGTGATATAATTAACAGAATTTTCTAGAGGGCAAAAAGGTATACAGTCCTATAACGGTGTTCCCTTTTTTTTAAATCAAAGAAACGCGGTCACATAGACAATGTAAAGAATATCAAATGGCTTTAAAGTTAAGATCTCACATCTGATGCTATGTACGTTTATGCTGTCTTGAGGAATGTAGCAGGGCTATGGAGATCACAGACCTGCGTCTACATGTGGTGCTGTAGCAACAGCTCTTGACTACTGCACGGTAGCTTCACATGGCAGGAAGCATGATATAATGCTACTGTGCAGTAGTCACGAGTTACTGCACAGTAGGGCTGTGCGAAACGGCAGCATTATGTTTCGACCGGCGTTTCGACGGAGCAGTGTTCCATTCCAAATTTTGTTTCGATTTGAAAAAGCTCTGTTCCATCAAAACTGGAGATCGGTGCAGGGCTTCGGGGTTCTGGGGCCCTGCACCTCTAGCTGCTGACAGGCAAAACTTGTGTCATGGGTGTTTGTGGGACTATGTCTGTCTTGGGACATGGAGGGGGGAACTACTGCAGGCCTAGGGGTGGGCTACATGGATTTTTGTCATTAAACTATCAGGGATCATTATTTAACTTAAGTAAAAATAAAGGAAGTCGTTGAGAGAGAGCTGGATACATTGAAAACCAAGCGTGAAATTCTGGATTCATTATGTAAAATTCAGTTTCCATGGGGTCAGATTTCTTCATATGATTGTTCTTTTTTAATTTGATTTAGAAATAGTCTTCCTCTTTGTACTGGAGAAATACATTTATAATCAAGTGCTTCATCAAGCAACATAAGAATATCTTTAATAAGATCTATTTTTTAAATTCTTTCTGGGAACCTTAATAACAATAACAACCACAATAATATTACCTAGTTGTTATATAGGATTCTTCTTCCATAATTTTCCAAGAGAGTCAAGGACATTATTTCTGTTTTACAGAGAAGTGCAAAGTGACCAGAGATTGTGCCAGAAATAGAATATAGGTATTGTAAGTCCCAGGCCACTTCTTCAGCCACAATGCCAAACTGCCATCTCACTCGTTTCCCGAGCAAGAGTTGCTTTCATCTACTTTTTTTGGATCAATGGACTCGAAATAACTTTCACACAGTGTTTTCCTCAGTTTCACAGTGTTTCTTGTCTTTTAACTAGTGCTTATCTTTTAACTTGAACATTTTCAACCTGTTCCTCAGTTTGAATGATTTTGTGAGGATGGATACATAGTTAATCCACATTTATTTTGATAGTCCATAATCATCGTTAACCATGTTCCCAGTCAAATTAGAATGATGTTTTCAGAATGAGGAAAGCCCAGAGGTCTTTTTTTTCTTTGTTTCACGTAAATGCGTGGCAGCAAATTGATTTTGCATTTTATAAAACTTTTCATTTGCTAATAATTTAGGAATTGAGAATCTGATCAGTCCAACATATAATGCCTTATAATGAACAAGTAATAGTTCCTGCAAATAAGTGGGATATGATTACATATGCATGATGTAGGCTGTATCTTTTATTACCATTACAGATGTTAAACTATGTGTGATGAATATAATGAGAAAAACTGGGAACTGATCATGAGCCTCATTCAAAAAAGAAGGCAGGACAGAGTCTCTGTAGCATAATAAATTAGGAGCGTGGGTATTTTTTAAGAGGGTTAAGTGCCCCTGTTTTTCACATTAGAGTGTGCAGGTTCCAATATGACTTAGGTTATGAAGAAAGCGAGGGAAAAAAGAGCAGTGGGGGTGGTGTAATTAGGATAGTGGGAGAGTTACACAGTGCCCGTTGCTAAGGAAATATTCACCAATTCACTGAGGGTGAAATTTGTCTTTGTACAGCAGATGATGCAAGGCCTGTGTAATGAATGGGGGAAATCTGGCTGTGTACAATTTATGAATTCTGGTTAATGTTATGAACTGCCATATCAGTCCGTGGCCCTGTGTGTGTGGAATCTAGCAATTGCTGTCAGGGCTGTATCACATATCTCCCAGACTAGGAACAGTGGAAGGGTGTTCGAGCTCGATGGTTTCCATTCAAGTGGAATTGGAAACACCTTGGCTTGGGAGGATGTGATGGCTGAAACCCAGGGAATCCAGTTCAGTCAAATTTGCCTTCAGGAGCAGGGATTTGGAGAATGGAAAATACTCAAACAGAGTAGCAAAACAATTGCATCTAAAAATATTTTTGCTTCTCTTGGTCCCAAGCAGGTACCTGGCTGGAGGGTTTTGGAGTCAAGAAGGAATCCCCCACTCAGTCAGGAACACTGTTGGTAGCCTTCCTCTGTAGCAGAGGGGGTTACCTACCTTTTAGGTAAAATATGCTCAATTTCCAGCTATCATAGTGGCAAAGACAGGGGCTGGATTAAGGTTGGGGGGTTCCTCTACTCTGCTTTCTCCCTGTGGATTATTGTAGATTTTATTGTATTATTAGGTGCTTGGTGATGTGTAGCACAGGCCTTGTGGACCATTCTGGACAGGTATGTGTTGGATGGTTGCTTGCAGTTGCAGGAGACTGGACTTAGTGACCCTGGAAAGGTGCAGAGCAAATCATAGATACAGAAAGGTTAAGCAAGAAAGAAACATCCCTATAAAAGAAGTGACTCAAGGACGTTTGTCCCAGGACCTTAATAAATGAATTACTCCTGCCACAGGTGTGCTGCTAGACTGGCAGGTACAGACTATATTGTGAAGACAAAATAAAAGTGTACATGCATTGACATCAGCAGATTTAACAGAAAATAACTTTAGATTCACAGTGGGGTCCCAACTAACCATGGGACCAAGCTGAGGAAATAGAAAACTAACTGAGCAGGAGAGTCTGTGTGCTTTGGAGAAGCCAGGCATGGGAGCTAAAGTGCCTTGTATTTCGGTAAAGATTCTGAGAGCAGCCCAAAGGTATTCAAAGAGTGGTAGACCAGAAAATGTGTTGGTGATTTGACAAAATCATTTTATTTGGATATGCCTGACCCTTTTCAAATAGGAACCCATTCTATATGCTTGTTTCCTCCAATTACCAGCCTTCACTGAACCATAAACCTAGAAAGCCCATAAGATCGGAGCTGCAGGAAACAGCGTGCTTAAGCAACGGAGAGTCTGGTACCTGAGGGCAGCTGGGCTGTAGGGTCCATTTCAGTGAAGGGGAAATGAGTATGTACTCTGAAAGGCTGCCGCAGAGGCACACTGAGCCTGAAAAAACAGCAGCCTAGAGAGTGCCAAAGCAGCAGAACCTCTACTAGAGCTGTGGCCATAAATACTCCTATGGATGACGCATGGATGGGCCTTCTTGCTGGTCCATTGCAGGGGGGTGAATTTCTCTCTGAGCAGAGTTTTCATCGATCCCATGTAGTTAAAATTAAGGAAAAAGCACCAGTGTGTTGTACCAGTTGCAAATTATGCAAGTAGGTGGGACAAAGTGCCAGCTTTATTGAGTAGGAAGTCATTTGTACTGGGGAGGAAATCTAGTCCCTGCTGCTGTCTTCTTTCTGCTTTATTGGTGTGATAGGGGAGAAGGTTTAGGTTCCCTTGGTGTGTGAAGATCCCCTGTAGCATTTTAATGATGAGTAGCTCTTTCATTTGGAGGGTGTGATGATATATAGTCATTTTGCGTATATGTGAGTGAGAATCACTTTTAGGGGCTCTGGCTATGTGTGGAATTGACAACCCTAGCAAAGGAAATGATTTCTTTATCCACAGAACAGAACAAGCATAGGCAATGCCAGTGCAAATTTCCTCCCACTCTATCTCACCTCAGACCTGGAGGGGAGTTCAGGCTCCACATCCAGTCCAATCTTCATTTCTCCAATGTTGGCCAGTGCGTTAAGCATTATTGTCAGCTGTGGAATTGCTTGATGATCCAGATAATTTATCAAGACCCATTTCATGTAAGACAGAAGGCAGGCTAATTTAATCAGAGATGCATAAGCTTTCATAAGCAGCAGACTTCTACCTGACTTGAGACTAATGTGGCTAACTCCTTCCCATTTTGTGTAAGCCAACAAGGAGCCACCTACTGATATCTTTCAGTCCCTGTTAATATGGGCTACTTTGAAGCAACAGCCATGAAGTGGCTCTAAATCCCTCTTTTTGACGCCCAGAAGCATCTAGTCATCTACACCAGGAGCAGGTTTTTAGAGTTAATTTTAATGACCTTTCTTGGTAGCCACCATGACATCCATGAAGAAATTTCCATTTTCCACCTGTGGCTTAAGCTAATTTGCTGTGATTTGCAGAAAGTTTTATTCAAATCTAATTTGGCCTTTTAGCTAAGATTTCAACTTCCTATTTTGCTGTTTGGTTCTACCACATCTTCAGACAGAAAAGTCAAATATGATCTTTAGATCTTTGACTCAGGAGAAAAGCAAACAACTGTATTCAGTGTTTCTGAAGGGAGGAAGTTATTCAACCCAACAAAACTTAGATGTTCTTGGTTCACATGTATAACACATGAAAGTGATGCAAAGTAATACTGCTCCATGAAACTTTTTGAGTATCCATTGCTGTTGCAGCCCAGAGCTGTTCCGATCCAGCTCAAAGTGCTGCGGAGGGGCTGGCTGGGGCATGAGGGTGTTTCAGTGTGGGACTAGGTGGCAGGCAGCCCCTACACTGAAGCACCCTCGTATCCCAGTCGGCCCCATCGGTGTCAACATGCGTATTGCTGCAGAGTAAAAAACTCCGCTCTAGCTTAGTACTTGTGTTTACAAGTATTAACCTATGGTGGAGGTAATTAGTTTACTCCATCCTAATAGCACTGCACATGCAGATCCTGAGATGATTACTGCAGAGCTAATTAGGCAACTGCATTAAATGCCTCGTGTAGACATGCCCACCGTGTGACAACCTAATGAGGTTGTGGTCAAACTGTTCAGCACCATACAACATGACAGGCTTAGAAAATGGGCGGACGAAAACCTGATGGCCTTCAACACTGAAAAATGCAAGGTACTCCACCTTGGGAAGAAAAACCCGCGGCATGCTTACAGGCTCTGCAATGCTACGCTTGCCTAGCGCCATGGCCAAAAGGGACTTGGGGGGTCATGATTGACCACAAAATGAATATGAGCCACCAATGTGATGTTGCAGCTGGCAAAGTGAAGCAAAACTCTGGCTTGCATCCATAGATGCTTCCCTAGCAAATCCTAGGATGTCATCCTCCCGCTGTACGTGGCCTTGGTGAGGCCGCAGCTGGAGTAGTGTCCAGTTCTGGTCTCCACAATTTAAAAAGGATGTGGAGAAGCTTGAGAGAGTCCAGAGGAGAGCCACGTGCATGATTGGAGGGCAGGAAAACAGACCTTATGATGAAAGGCTGAGAGCCATGGGACTTTTCAGCCTGGAAAAGCGCAGGCTCGGGGGACCTGGTGGCTGCCTATAAGTATATAAGGGGTGTCCACCAGTATCTGGGGAATGCCTGTTCACCACAGCACCCCAGGGGATGACAAAGTCGAACGGTCACAAACTCCACCAAGATCATTTCAGACGGGACATAAGGAAGAACTTCTTTATTGTCCGAGCCCCCAAGGCCTGGAAGAGACAGCCACCAGAGGTGGTGCAGGCACTTACTCCGGACTCCTTTCAGACTCAGTTGGATGTTTATCTTGCTGGGAACCTATGACCCCAGCTGACTTCCTGCCCCCAGGGCAGGGCCTGGACTCGATGTTCTTCCGAGGTCCCTTCCAGCCCTAATGTCTATGAAATGTACATGCTGTCTTCCCCCTGAAGTGGGTTAAGAGTATCTGACATGTGTGGCTAAATATTATCAACAGTCAGTGTGTTAGCTCACATTTTTCTGAGGTCAGTGGACATTGCTCCTATGGCTTTAAGTTGGCAACATTGCAACTGTGGAAGATATTATTTAAAACTGTGCCAAAGGTAAATAATACTGCCAACCTGTATTCTCTTGTACATGCCTTGATTAACGAGCTTTTGTATATCCACTTGGGGTGTAGCCCTGTAAGTTATGATGTTATAGGCCATCGAGAAATAATCCTACCATGACCTTCATCCTAGCTCTAAAGGATTTGATTCTGAGAAATCACCACAAAAATTAAGACCGATAAAACCACTTCCTACATTTTTTCCTATTCTCTTACAAGTGCAGGATTTTACCTAGTCAATATAAGTAATTGATGATAAAATGGTTATTATTGCCTTTCTTCAGAGGGTACCATAAAAGCTCACAAATATTATTTAGGTGGCACAAAACTGCTGTGAGGTAGATGTGGTAGATATTATTACAAATGGTGAGACTGAGGCAGGGAGGAGGCAATAACTCGGGCATGCTCGTGAAAACCAGGAGTCCTCACTTCCATCCTCATGTTCTGTTCCTACATTAAACTAACTACAAGAATTTCCATTTCCGGATCATGTCATTTGTATTCTTACAAGTAACAGTGTTATACTTAGCTAGGAAACATTTCAGGACCAAATCTCGGTTTGCCTGAATGTTTATAAACAATGTCAGCTTTCGTTAGCACTGACCTAGTTTGCTAATGATATTTTTGGAGTTCGAGACACACACCAGCATACAATGGCTCACTACAAAACCAGTCGCAAGAACCTGATTTCATTGGATGCTCCTGTTGACTAGAGGCTGTAGTACAGATACCAGTCCTACAAGACAGGGTGGTCCCTTCTGCCTCTGTAGAATAATGGCAACCCGATTCACCTGCTTCACCCCTTGTGTTGTCATTTGCATCTGCAGAAAGGGAGTGCAAAGCGACGATTGTGTAACACTTTCTATGCTCTCCTTGTCACAGGAGTAAATACGGGGCATTTAGCCTGCGTGATTTTAAGGCTCGCTAATTGTAGAAAATATGATTCCATTACTGTTGGGTTATGAATGAAAGTTAGAAATAAGAGAAGCCCATGGTTCTCAATGGGCACGTCTACATGAGACATTTACTCTGGAGTTGCATATTTAGCTGTGCAGTAAACGTCTCACTATCTACATGTACAGTGCTATTAGGATGGGGCAAACTAATTAACTCTGCTGCAGGTTAGTACTTGTAAACTCAAGTACTACCCTACGGTGGGTTTTTTTACTCCACAGCAACACACGTGTAGACACTGACTGGGTGGCTGGGGCATGAGGGTACTTCAGTGCAGGGACTGCCTGCCAGCTAGCCCCATACTGAAGCCCCTTTGTGCCCCAGCCAGCCCCTCCACAGCACAATGAACCAGGACAGAGCAGCCTCAGGCTGGCAGGCTGATGCCCCAGGCCCCCTGTCAGCTAGGGAGGCTCCAACCTGGCCCAACATGCTGCAGTGGTCCCAGGCACATATTCAAACACAGTTCCCCAGAGGAATAAATTCAGGTGTGTATGAGCTGGAGTTTATTGCTGCGTGTTAATTGTATGTGTAGATGTGCCCAGTGTGTTTCACACCAGGGCCTCATTTCCACATGTGGGAGCCCTTGGTCCAGTCTAACACAGGAAACAATGGAGGTTGGTACAGCCTTTAGGGCCTTGACTCCACGATGGCTTTTTATGTCTCCAAAATGTGGTTTCCATCACTGTCTTCAAAAGACCATTCCACAAGCAAATAAATATCATGTGTGGACTTGCCTCCTTTTTTATAGGTCCAAACAGAGAGGAGGGATCATTCAAATGAAATGAAGAAACACTGTAATGAAGATTAGTAACTGAGGTACGATTCATCCATTTGCTTAACATGTGCATCTTTAAAAATTGTCTGAACCATAATTAGTTCTGACAGTCAGACCTTTCAAAAGGTCCAGGAAAACTATAGAGAAATATTTAAGAGAATCAGTCTCTGAGATAATTTTACTTATTTAAAAAGCTGCAGGAAATATTGAGTTTGAGAGGAAATTGTTCCTATAAAATGTTCTAAAATGTCAGCACTAAACGGTGTAATTTAAAAAAAATTAGGAAGTAAAGGATGGGGGGGGAAAAACCCTGCTGGCTTTAGAGAACATTTAGGAGGCTGTTGCATATCTGTTAGCAAAGAGAGGGGCCTGGTAATGCGATTCTATGAAAAAGAATTTGTAACAAGAACTCAAGTGCATCAATTAGCTGAAATCTGTGACGTCCATCTGGGACTTCACTGTAAGCACATCTGGCCTGTAAACTGTGGAAAAGCAATAAAGATTTGTAGGACACATCATTTAGCCCTCTTCAAGACTTGGCTGACAGAACTACAGATGATCAAGAGTTGCAAATCTTTGTCTCTAACCTCTGCCTGTTGCTGCACAGACGGTGTGTGGAGTGTGGACCAACTGTCTTGACTCAGAGCTCAGTCCTAGTCTATGTTCACCATAGGAGAGGAGAGCTGGGATGCGAGGAAGGTGGATTCAGCCAAAGCAGGCACTGGCATGTTTTAGAATGTCTCAAGAGCTGCCGTACCTCGCTGTCTACAAAGGGCCTAGTAAGGACTGCAGTATCACCTTAGGCTTGGACAGAGACCCTGCCCGTCCATAGCACCTTTCTTGAGTCCACTGAGTAGAGCAGACTGGGTAGAGTACTTTGGAAAATAGGTGAAAAAGAGCATTCAGCATCCTTCTTGGATCATCTTTGTTGCAGGACCCCTCAGATTGATGGTGCTGGCCTTGCCCTGCCACAGACCAGGTCAGAATTTTACCCCCTAAAGTGCGCAGAGATCTCTGCAATTCGACAAGAGGTCAGAACTTGCGTGGAGTCCCTGTACCCTCATGCTGCACGGTGTGCGTCTCCTCTCCAGCAGAGCTGTGCTAGCAAGGCTCCCACGGCTGATTTTTTGCTGTGCAGACCCATTTGAAGGAAGAGCTGCAGAATGAAGATCTTTCCTAATTTAGATCTGAGCATTGGTGCCATCTGCATCTTTTTATTTATCCA